TCCCTGACTTGTTCTGATGTGTGTGCGTAAGTACACTTGGTCTAGAGTTTCTCTGCCACAAGGTGACTTTAAATTTAAATTTCGTGTTCTAAAAATTGAGTATCTAATTATGAAGTTGTTTAAAGTCTGTAAATTAAAAATAGGACAGTAAAGCTTTAAAAATAAATTATCTAGGAACAGTGCAATTAACCATACTTTGTGGCAACTTGGGCAAAAGATGCACTCGTTAACTGGGATTTTTAATTTCCTTGTCTAAAAGCTAAAATAATTTCCTGACTGTGTTTTGACAAGGGAAGGATGCTTTGGCAGCAGTGAGGTTCTGTTACAAGAAGAAACTTGTCTGATACAGCGAGCAGCATTGCCAGATCACATTTTGCTTTTACTATCATTTTTTGTTAACTAGTTTTTAGGCTTGAAGATAGAGAGTTAATGTTACGCTTTTGACTAGTATTAAAGCAACTATCTTCAAAGAGATGACTTGGAAATCTGACTGACTTTTAGAAATTTTGTAGTCTGGAAGCTCCCAGGTACTGTATAAATCCATTTGAAACAATCAAGAGAGTAGGAGTGAACGTCCTAAAAGTATTCCGTTGGCTATTCAGGAAAATTTGGCATTACCCCACTTAGCTCTCATACTGTGACATACTGTTTCCTTTTTTTTATGTAGAAATGGAAGCATAATCGGGACATTACTCAAATTTACAGGTTGTCTGGGATGTAAGTGGAGGTTTCAGTGTCCCTTTGACTTCCCATTGAGTATAGGCAGTTTGGCAGTAAAAATGATAGCTAGTATCTGAAAACTATCTCATTTTAGACTGACTTAATCCAAGAAGTTGATCTTTAGTACACATTGGTTAAAGTATAATATTTATTACAGTCATACTACTGTATATAAACTTGTTGCTTGAAATTATGCTCAGTATAGCCAGACCCTAGACTTTCAACTCAATTTTATAGCAGTTACTCCTTCAGGAATGGTGAAATGAGAATGGGTTTCAATTTCATCCAGAGTATTAAACCAGTTGTATTTAGTCATCAAAATCAGACCTACTTAGAACATGTCTAGGCAGTTAAGAAGTACCTATTACAATACTATGTTGAATATCTGTATAATACTAAACTAGACCTGTCCTATTTTATTATGGCCTACTATGTGATGTGATAATCAAATATATGCCTTTCCTGAGCATCATTACAGAATGCTATTGCCGTTTTCTCTCTCCTTTTCTTTTTTTAATTTTGCTTAAATATTCCCTCCAGAAGAACAAGAACCTCTTTTAAAAAAATCAGTTCCACACACTAGCAGCTTTACATTTCATCCAAACATTTTTGGTTATATAATCATGGTACTGAGTTCTTCATACAAATAAAAGTTAAGAACAAAAAGGTAGAACATCTTAAGCAAATGGTTTTGAATGTTTCTATAGAAATTAAATTAACTTTCAACATTAACTTGTTCTCCAAATAAGAATTCGCTTTGGGTTTTAAGTTGTGTAAACATTTTCTCATGTATCTAGTTTTGCAGTGTGAAGACAGGACATAGAAGGTTGCATGTTTTCAGGTTAATAAAATGTTACAATGGTAATAGCAAATTAGCTACAATTTCACATCTGTATTATTTAACATTTAGGAGCCAAAAGTTCATTATTTCTGTTATTACTATTTTGCTGTAGGATGTCAGCTGTAATGAAATCACAGCTTTGCCACAGCAGATAGGCCAGCTGAAATCTTTAAAAGAACTGAATGTCAGAAGAAATTACCTCGAAGTTTTACCCCAAGGTAAAAAACAAACAAAAAACCCTAATACCTTTATGGTAGCTCTTTTTATTAGCATGTTGAAAGTACTTTTTAATCATGTAAGTAAATATGATTAAAAACTAGTAATTACTTTGTGTTCAAATTTATTCCATTTCAGTTTGCAGAATGTAACATTCAGTGGTACTTACTAAATGACAGCATGTGAGGGTTTTTTAATGAATTATCTTTGTGATTCTAGGAATGTCTTAAGTTGCACAAGTACTTACCTGCGAATGCAGTATGGGAACTGTCAGCTGAGTTTCAGGGAAGAAAAATATTTTAAAGTATTTATTTTAAAATTTATTGTCACTTGAATAACAAAAACACTCTTTTCATTTCCCGGTACAGAATGGAATAAATGTTGATCATATTCCTGCCTGAGTTTGTATTTTTCCTGAATGGAAAAGAAGGTTTATTAAAAAATATTTTATTATTTTATGGCAGAAATTAATACAGATATAACACCGTCTCTCTTTTTTGTTACTTTTAGAACTAGTACAGCTTCCCTTGGTAAAGTTCGACTTTTCCTGCAATAAAGTGCTTGTGATTCCAATTTGTTTTAGAAAGATGGTGCAGTTACAAGTATTACTGCTTGAGAACAATCCTTTGCAGTCTCCACCAGCACAAGTAAGTAACATCTATCATTTAAATTGTGCCTTAATATTGGGCAATATTTGGATAACAAATTATAGCTTATAAAATGTTACCTACTGCAGTTGCAGGCTTCTGAATGTCAGTCATCACAGACATTAGTTGCTGATGTATAAATAAGACACAGAAAGTATGCGATGTTCTGTATATGAGTCTGTGCACCACTTGAACCAACGTGAGTCTAGAAGATTTCCATTCAGTTAGCTACCTGCTTATTTTTGTCATTCCAACCTGCATATGAAACTTAATGTTGGAATGTGTATATAATTTTGAAAAAGAGAATTGAGAAACTTCCTGGATAAGTTTTCTCTCTTTTAATAAGAACCCAGTTCTAGAAGGTTCTACAGTGATTTACTATTAACTTAAAAAACATGCAGATGGTCTAGAACGTAATCCATGTGAAATTTATTTTACTTCATAGCATAAGTTTTTATAGATTGTGATACAGGAAAAAAATCAAACTCCTGCTCTGAACTGTAGGCCCTGCTGAAAAATGATGATAATAAATGAATGGAACCTGTGCTTGCTGCTTAAGGACAACTTTGCTGTTGACTTACTGGACAGTAGATTCAAACTACATCTCTGAAAGTGACAATTGTTCTAGATCAACAGCTGTTGAAATACTTGAGAGTTTTTATTACATTGGAAAAATGCTTTTCATAACCAATGGTGATGCTGCTACTAAGCTCAAAAAATACAGAGCAAGTTTCAGCAAGCACTCGAGCTAGAGGTGTGCAGTTAAAGAAAAAAGAATTCTAAAATGCAGGTGAAATGCATCATAAAGATGCTTGGACACTAGTAAAAACAATGTGACTAAGAATATAAAGGAAATGCTGATTAATTAAATGTCATTATTGACTAATTTTGGAAACTAATTATTCAATTTACAGTTAGTAATAAGCCATACGATATATTTTATTGTAATTCTTTTTGTGAATGAAAAGCTTATTTGGATTTTTTAAAGTAGAATACATTCTTTCTTGTTTTCTGTCTTACTCTCTGAGGGTATTTAGACTAGTACACACAGATAATGGATTGGGTAATTGAAGTAGTTCTTAGTAATTAAAAAAAAAATAAAATCCATTTTCCTTTATGTGATATCTATTGAGACGATATGAGTTGATTTTCAGGGAGTTTTACACTAAGTGACATCTGGAATAAATTATTTCTTTCATTCTAGTTATAAACCTAACTTTTTTTTCATGTCTAACAGATTTGTACAAAGGGTAAGGTGCATATATTCAAATATCTGACTGTACAGGCCTGTCAGATTAAAACGGCAGACTCACTGTATCTTAATGCCATAGAACAACAGCATTTGCCACAACCCGTGGAAGAAAGGTATGTATGAAAATCTCACTTAGTTTTTTCATGTAACACATATGAACAAAGTGAAATAATATATTTATATCTTTAGCTTCCAGAGTTTCGTTTGTTTAGATGCTATTTAGAGTGTACTTCTTTGAACAGAGATTTGTTTTGCTTTAATATAGGGATTTCACTAGAATAAAATATAAGAACAAAATATTTTTAACAATCAGTTCTGATTAAAGGTAGCAGCACATTAGGAAAATGCTTAGAAGTGAACCTTAGTTTACATCTAACCTCTTACTAGTAGACTGCTGGAATATATTGAAAATAATTGAGATGGTAGTATCATTAAGTGTTGGAACTTTCTTGTAAATCTATTAACACGTTAAATAAGTTTTAATTTCTTGTGTTGTTTTGTGGTTTATATGTTGTTATACATGGTCGCATAGTTGTTTTAAGCTTTTTTGTTCATCCAGAGGCTTATCCATCCAGCAAAGAGAACTGCATGAATGTTGAGACCCTTTTAAAGTGAAATGTACTTATTTGTTAGCAAAATGAAAGTCAAAATCTTCAATGTCTTGCATCAAACATCTAGGAAATGTCATCTTGTATGGTATTTTAAGGACAGGAACTAGATATGAAGCAGCTCCTTTTTATGAGAATCTCCATAGCTAATTGGAAACCAGTTTTTAGCCAGCTGTTTTTTTGCTAACATGGGAAGTATAATATAACCAATCAGAGGAAGTGCCATAATGCCTTACTTTTGGAGAGAAGTACTCAATAAAAACAAAGTGTTGATGTAAATAAAAATGGAGATGTTGCTGCTAACACCCTGGGGAAAAAAAAAAGAACTGTTATGGAATCTCCCTGTCAGTCATCTAGATAAGGTTTCAAGCAAATCGTTTTCCTCCATGTTTGGAAACACCTTTGTGGATTTCTATCATAAATGCCAAAGGTGGGAAGAATCCAGCATGAAGAATAAGTTTTCCATTTGGGAAACACCTACTGGTTTTCTGTTTTGTTCTTTTAGTATATAAGAAAATTGACAGGAATGTCATGTCCTGTATGACATTTTGGTCATATAGGATCATACAGGTTAGGTTAAGGGGATAGAACAGAGTAGGTACCAGTTGGTAACTAACAGCCTAATGCTATATCACATAATAATTACCAGATTTTTATTTTAGAGAATAACTTCATACTTCAAAAGAAAAAGCATAACCTGGTTAGGATTTCCATATGCAGTTTCTTTCTACACAAAGTCCTTAGTGTTTACTGATAAGAGATAATTTAAGATTAGGATTAATCAGATACCTTATTCATGTGAAGATTGTTGAAGTTATTTTTTAAATTGCTGTGTCAATCTGAATTCAGGATTACAGCTTTCAGGATTGCAAATGAGAGGATAATAAAGCATATTAAAAAAAAGTTAGGCGATGAGTGTATTGCATCTAATACTGTACTTTAAAATGAGTAGAGGTCAGACTAGGTAATGAAAGCAGAAGAGAGAGCAGTTGCCATTATTATAGTCATTTTCTTAAAAACCTAAATTTCAAAGTCTATTTTAAAGCACCAAAAGAAGGTTTCTGTGTTAATAACTACTTCAAGCCGCAGGGAAATATCAGTTCATTTTTAATGCATCAATGGTTACAATTAAATCAGTTGACTCCAGTTTGAGTTCAACTAGTTTAGTTGCTTTTCCCATGGCTAAATGACTTCAGTTGGACTCCTGTGCTACTTAGCTAGTAACTGAGCATTTTTACCTAGTGTATAGACAAAAGCAAGCTTTATAGCAGATTTCTGTTGTTTTCATTAATCATTAGGCTAACCAGCCATTCCATCTGATCTATTTTACTATTGCCAGACTGCAGATGTGTAGTTTTTAATCATACTAGGTTATTGCACCCTCTACCATTAAGACTGGTTGGAATTTTGCTTTGTTTTAAGTGAAACCAGGACAGAATTCTAATGGTAAATGCTATGATAGCTTTTTATTGTCCTTTTTTTTTTTATTCACATGTAGCATTGATGACATCTACCCAAGTAAAAAGGACTCAGATTCAGGTGTTGGTAGTGATAATGGCGATAAACGTTTGTCAGCAACAGAGGTAAGTTGCCTGAATTTTGTGTCCAGCTCCCCTTCGCACCACGCATATATTTTGACTGTGTTTTAGTTTGGGTAACAATATGAATATGTTTTTAGCCATCAAAGCTGTGCAACCACATCCTTGGCATGAATTTCTCGCTAAGAAATGGCTAAAACAAAGATAAAAGGGGACTGTTTTTTTGGGGTTGTTTTTGGGGTTTTTTTTTGTCTGTACGCTTTCCGGAGAGGGCAGTGAGATACTTGCTTACAGTAGTCAACAACCTACCAATAGTGACAATTCACTACAGTTTTCAGACAGTTTACATGATCTAGAGAATGAGGACCAAACCAGAATCCACATCTGCTCTTTCCAATGAAGTAAATGTCCTGACAGGTTACATGCCTGGCGGCTTCTCATTTCTCTTCTGACTGATAACTCTTTCCTGTTGGGAATTAACAGGAGTTCAGTGTGCCCAGTCCCGCTGTATTCTATGGTGTCATGGTTATGGCAGTTTGCTGTAGTGTAGGAACTTCCGAAACTTTTCAGATCTTAATGCGTTTACATGCTCGGGCAGTTAGGCAGTGCTGGAAATAAAGCCGTCAGAATTCTTTCTGAACTAAGTTGTCTGAGTGAACGAAGAAAATGGATGGCTTTCTGAGACTAGTGTTGTCCTAAGCGGTTACAGCTGACTTTCCTAGACCTTTTTTCTGAGGCCCTGCTTGGCTGAACAGGACACTAAATCTAGTTGGAGTTCAACTGAATAAATAATGATAAATAAGTAAATAATTACAATATAAGTCAGTGATGATCTTTCTGAAATGTACAAATAATGGGATTTGTGGTCTGACCTAATGGGAAATATTCAGGTCAGAATAGAAGAATGGGCTTCTTGCTACTTAAAATAATTTTACACTGATTCTTTAGTGTTTCTCTCCTCCTTTGAGGAAAAGAGATTCTGTTGCTTTTGAAACAAAGGTATAAAGAATCAAGCTTAGGTACTGAATTTGTAGTTAGTAAAAAGCAAATTGAAAATGAATCCACTTACGTGCTGATTGGTCTTTTAAATACAAAAGCACTTAAAGAAAACCCACAGGGTTTTCCAAGTATTTGGGCAAGTTTCTTGCTAGATGGAAATGAAGCAGAATTATCATGATTTCTAGCCGGACTTCTAATGGTTTCCCTCTGGTTACAAGAGCATGCAGTCTATTCAGAGACACTTATAAACTGTTTTGCCATTCTTACACCTCCTGAAGCTGAGTTAGCTTCTAATGAAACTGTTGTTCCAGAATTTCCTCTTTAGCAATAAATAACACCTTTAGAAAATAGATCATCTTTACTGTATAGAATCATAGAATCATTAAGGTTGGAAAAGACCTTTAAGATCATCGAGTCCAACCGTCAACCCAACACCACCATGCCCACTAAACCATGTCCCTAAGCGCCGCATCTACACGTCTTTTAAATACTTCCAGGGATGGTGACTCAACCACTTCCCTGGCCAGCCTGTTCCAATGTTTAACCACTCTTTCAGTAAAGAAATTTTTCCTTACATCCAATCTAAACCTCCCCTGGCACAACTTGAGGCCATTTCCTCTTGTCCTATCACTAGTTACCTGGGAGAAGAGACCGACACCCACCTCACTACAACCTCCTTTCAGGTAGTTGTAGAGAGCGATAAGGTCTCCCCTCAGGCTCCTTTTCTCCAGGCTAAACAACCCCAGTTCCCTCAGCCGCTCCTCATAAGACTTGTTCTCCAGACCCCTCACCAGCTTTGTTGCCCTTCTCTGGACATGCCCCAGCACCTCGACGTCCTTCTTGTAGTGAGGGGCCCAAAACTGAACACAGTATCCGAGGTGCAATCAAACTGTAATCAAAACGTAGGAATTGGGGGAAAAAAAAATATTGCGAAAAATTGTTTTAAAGACAACCGACAGTGAACCAATACATTTTTATTAGCACAAAGGCTTTTTATATGAGAACTACTTACTCATTCCATCCCCGCCTGACTACTGCTCTACTATTAAGGAGAAAATGGATGCTGAGATCAGTAATCCCAAATGTATTTGGTAGTAAATTCACAACTCACTTTTCCTTCTGAGGCGACCTTTAATACCTGTGTTACACATGAGAATTGTGCAAGAAATATTAGCATGTTGTGAATACAGATTCATGTACATTGTTAATTACAATCAGAAATCTACATACCAAACACTAGATAAACATTAAATGATCAGTCATAAAGTGATCATTAAAACACATTTTTGGAGGGTTTTTAAAATATATCAGACATATAAAAACAAACTACCTTTTAGTCTGAAGGCTAGTGGCTGTTGAATTTCAGCTCTTACAGAAAATACTACAATGTCATTTTGCGTTTGTGCAACTTAAAAACGGTAACTTAAATGAATCGTTTGAAAACTAATGCATTTTTTAGGAAGCTTGCTACTTAGCTTTGGGTCCATACACATAAGAGGAAGTACTTGATGAAATGAACAATTTACGTATTTCTGTCTGGCTTGTTGGTAGGGTCATTACAGGGTCAATTCTTCAGAGCTGTAGTCATCTTGGGCATTTCAAGTGAAAGATATCTCGTAGTGTTGCTGTAAAATTGATTGCAGCAACTTGAAGGCAAATTCTGCTTTAAGGTAGTACACTCATGTACCTCATCTTTTAGGAACAGTATAGCATTTTCATTCATTTTCCACCTCCCTTTGGCCTTATTTTTTCCTTAGTTAAAATTCATTAGAACAACAGGGTACTTGTTGAGATCCAGATGGTGTCCCTGCTTTATTACCCATAAGAGCGACACATTAGTACCAGCAAGAATGTATATGAAGATTCTTTCAAAATGCATCATCTGAATTCAGTGTTGGAATAATGTTAGGTATTTTTGATTTTTATGTCTATTGTCATCTTCTGTTGCCAGCTGAATAAAAATAAAACTGGACAAAGGAAGTGAGATACAGTGTTTCACCTGTGAAGGAGCAATACTTTTGTATTATTGCAAGCTGCTTTGGATAGTTTCTATTTCACAGTGTACTGGCAGGAAGCACCTGGAAAATCAATTGCAGAATTCTGTAGGCCCTGAAAGTGAGACATAGCCTGTTAAAGGAATGATTTTCTGTTTCCAAATTGAATGGCCTATGGCTTTTTTTAAACCAACACTCCAAAATATTTTCCTAAAAGCTGTGTGTGTTACTCTGCTGAGAAAAAAATCTTGCCTGTTTTAGTATTCAGACGAATGATAGTTGTGAAATTAACAAATCATGAATCTTTGAACTAGAATAACTAAATTTAGTGCTAAATGTCACATGAGATACAACCTGAAAGAGAAAGAACTTCACTGTAACCTTGGTTGTCTGAATGAGTTTATATTGTGCATGTCTTTTTTTTTTAAGCTGTTGGATTGTCATTGTTTCAGGTCTAAAAGAACTAGTGAATTTTGGGCTTAGCATACTTGGAGTGTGGTTTGTTTATTTTCTGTTTGAGATACTAATTTGTTTCAGTTTAAAATAGGTTTTAAAATTTAAAATTTATTTTTAAAATTGACAAATAGGAACAGTACTGCAGTGTTAGTTCAGTTCATTATAAAGCTTCATCATTTTGATAAGGCTTTACCAAGTCCCTCAATATCCTTTTGAATTTTTTCTCAGCAGAAGAATACAGCCAGTGAATTCATAGAGTTAATAACATATGTTTTATTCATAAAGAAGCACATTTATGGTGGTCCACATTTACAGAATGTGTTAAGTCCAGGGTATTCTTGGCAAATAGGAATAACCACATGTATCTTTGATACAGTTTTTTAAGAGCAAAGCAGATTTGCTCCATTCCTTATCGCAAACCTTTGATTCAGGATTTTAAAAAAATACTTTCTGCATGGAATATGAACAAATGGCATAACAGCAAGAATGGCATAATTCTACTGGAAGCTAGCGACTATGGAATTGAATAACTTGTTGTATGTAATAATCTCCCATTCCATTGCAGATCTTTTGTTACAATGGGCTGAACTGATAAACAGAGAAATACCGTTTCCTTAAAAAATATATTCTTAAAGGATATGGCACAAACTACTATATATGTATTATAGCAGTTATAATTACAGAATACATGTATGGAATATGTATGCACAGAGTAGCGAGTTGCAGAAACACAGAGCATCTAAAGAATGAGCATCAGCAGTGCATTGTTGGGAAATAGATTTGCAACGCTCTGACAGACTGTTCTAGTGGTAAGCTCTCTATCCTGAGACAGAGCAAGAATAAAAACTTGGCCTCTTCTGGAAACTGTGTTTTTCATCGAATCATAGAATCATTTAGGTTGGAAAGGACCTTTAAGATCAAGTCCAACCGTTAACCTAGCACTGCCAAGTCCACCACTAAACCATGTCCCTAAGCTACAGGTCTTTTAAATACCTCCAGGGATGGTGACTCAACCCCTTCCCTGGGCAGCCTGTTCCAATGCTTGGGAATCCTTTCGGTGAAGACATTTTTCCTAATATCCAATCTAAAGCTCCCCTGGCGCAACTTGAGGCCATTTCCTCTCATCCTATCACTTGTTACTTGGGAGAAGAGACCAACACCCACCTCACTACAGCCTCCTTTCAGGTAGTTGTAGAGCCTGATAAGGTCTCCCCTCAGCCTCCTTTTCTCCAGGCTAAACAACCCCAGTTCCCTCAGCAGCTCCTCATAAGACTTGTTCTCCAGACCCTTCACCAACTTCGTTGCCCTTCTCTGGACACGCCCCAGCACCTCAATGTCCTTCTTGTAGTGAGGGGCCCAAAACTGAACACAGTATTCGAGGTGCGGCCTCACCAGTGCCGAGTACAGGGGCACGATCACTTCCCTGCTCCTGCTGGCCACACTATTTCTGATACAGGCCAGGATGCCATTGGC